CCGCCCAAATGTTCACGCAAAGAAAGAAGGCATAACTTTTATACTCGCTGTAGTATTGTAAAAGAGGACACGACTAGAAATCAGTGGTTAAGTTGTATTTACAACACTGTTCCAGAACAGTTCAACCCAAATATTCAGATGTTTGCAGCACATTTTATGGAGAACTGTTTCCTGATCCTGGGAGAGAAGCCTACAATGCCGGCTGTTCTGACTCACTGACTGTAAGTACGCTTTCATATTTAAAGAATTTGCCACTGACGATTCAAACACGAGTTTTGAGCAGTGTAGAGTAGCGCTTGTTGTTCGTCATTTCTCCGATCACAAATGCAGACATGGTTTTATGTTTACGCGGCGCGATGCTACGCAATCTTTTAAAGATTGTTTTAAAAAAATTAAAATACAAATGTAATCCTTTATTTACAAAAATGTTACTCCACATCCTGCCAAATGATGTCCTCCAAACAATGTGCAATTTGAAGTTTATGAAAACATATATAATGAATTAATTTACTCATCTGAACCATAGTTATTATATTACATTTATACTCCATTACTAAAAAACAGTTACAGTTACTCCTCTCATAAAAATTCTATTACTTTTGTCACATGCAGAATCCAAAACCTACATTTAATGTCCAACTAGGAGTATTTTAGTAAAAATGTATATTTTTGTGTATATTCTGTGCTCAGTTTATTTGTCTTTTAGCGAGCTGCAGTATTTGTGCTTGCTTAAACTGTTTCTCCTCAAACTTAGACCTATTATTGCTTCTGTTCTCGTCATTGTTCTCCATCTAACCCTGTTCAGAATGCTTCCTGCAGCCTATAAATCTGAACATAGCCCATGTCTCATCTTCTGGGCAATCAGAAAGAGAAATGACAAGAGGACGAATGTTCACTTCATATTTCAAAATCTCAAAGCAGATGATCATCTGATGTCATCAGAGAAAAGAGACAGGAGAAGAGGGCAAGTGAATGAGAGAGAAAGCGAGAAGAAGAGTGAAGATTACAAGCTTTAAGAGTTCATTAGAGTGTCTTACCAAGGGAACCACGATTCCTCTTGTTCACTGCTCATCAGGTCACAGAAAGCAGAGAAAAAAAAAAAAAAGAAATCAGAAAAAAATCATTCCTTTCACCAAAATACCTCATATATCTTCAAACTTTAAGCCCCCAAAAACATTAGCTCCACTGTTCTTGGTCCCTCTGTCACACCTGCCATGATTTTATCATCCTGCGACATGTAATTATGGGAATTTGCTGCCCCTTGACCTGCCCTTAATGGAAACACCACACTTATTGGCTTCCTATTTTCACTTAAACCTAGAAAATGAGGTGCAGACTGTACAAATGATAGTAAACACAACAGAGAGATAAACAAAGAGATGCATTTTGATCAGTATCACACAGAGAATGAGTTTCAGGATTTATCAAATGCAAATATTATCATTTAGTTTAAAGTATGTATCTCAGCTACCCACAAATAAATAAATAAATAATAGTGCTGTCGAACGATTAATCGCATCCAAAATAAAAGCTTTTGTTTACATAGTATATGTGTGTGTACTGTGTACATTTATTATGTATATATAAGCATGCATGTATATATTTGAGAAAAATATGTTACGTTTCTATATTAAATATATTTATATACTGTATATAATATAAATTATATGAATATAAATATATACATGGAAATACATGGAAATACTTTCAAAATATATACTGTATGTGTGTGCATTTATATATACATAATAAATATACACAGTACACAGATATATTATGTAAATAAAAACTTTTATTTTGGATGCGATTAATCGCGATTTATCGTTTGACAGCACTAATATATATATATATATATATAATTTGAGTATGGGTGGATTAGCTCAGATCATTTGGAATTGGATGAGAAATATGAAATATTTCAGTTCATATTGAGATGCCTGACTTGCTCTACATATACCCTTGTCCGAAGGTTTGGTGTCGGTAAGATTTATGTAATTTATTCCTGTGATGACAAAACTGAATTTTCAGCATCATTACTCCAGTCTTCAGTGTCACATGATACTAATATGCTGATTCGGTGCTAAAAAAATACATTATTTTTTATTATCAATGTTGAGAACAGTTGTGCTGCTTAATATTTCCGTGAAATCTGTGATGTATTTTTTTTCAGGATTCTTTAATAAATAGAAAGTTCAAAAGAACAGCATTTATTTAAAAAAATTTTTTTTCTTATTTTATATATAAAAAGTCTTGTCACATTTGATCAAATTAATGCATCCTTTCTAAATAAAACTATTCATAAAAATAGTACTGACAGTACTGTAGGTAGTGTGTATATACAGTGCATATATAAAGTATAACATGAGAGAGAGTTATTCTTCAGAAGGCAGCTTTATCATTAGCTCATCATCCTGTCATACTGCAAGCTAGTATTAACATTTAAGTGAACGTCTCTCCCTCTCACTGTCTCTGTTGCTCTGTCTCACACAACAAGCTCAGCAACTGCTGTGCTTTAATTGGTTTTACATTAGACTGGTGTCGTAGGAGCAGTCACACTGCCAAAATGCCTGACACTGCCAAAACTCAAGAAATAGCAAGTGAAACAGTACACATTATGAAATAATAAACATTCCAAACTAAACAAGCTGTGCTGCATTGTTGTCACATGACTTCATTACATGCATTTTTAATCTAGTTTCGTATGAAAATATCTTAACAGTAAGTTCTGGCCTAGTGGCAGCACACATGCTTTGACACAATGTCAAACTAAAGTTTTTAACTAAAGTCTTATTTTAGTATTATTTCTATAGCATTATTAATATTTTGAATTTGCTTTTATTTTGGGCTACACTTTATTTTAAGGTGTCCTTGTTACAGTATAATTAAACATTTAAGTGCCGAGTAATATTAATTAACCACATGTACTTACTATATGGTTAGGAGGAGGGTTTGGCTTAGGGTTGCTTGCATGTAATTGTGCATAATTTATTGTTATTATAATAATAAGTACATGTAGCATGTGTAACAAGGACATCTTAAAATAAAGCGTTACCTTATTTTTATATTTCCAATTTTAATTTTAGTTATGTTTTAGTAATTTTGTTATGTACATTTGGAATTTTAATTTTTTTATTCATATTTTTTATTTAGCTTTATTTTATTTTTTTCAGTTTTAGCTTAATTATTCTAGTACTTAAAGATGCGATTTAAATGTTTCCTTTCTCTTTGAAGTGTTACAAGCTCTTGGTGCATAAAGAAGATCTGTAAAGTTGCAAAGACTAAAGTCTCAAATCCAAAGAGATATTCTTTATAAAAGTCAACCACGCCTACCTAAAACGGCTCGTTCTAACACGCCCCCACATGTCTACGTCACGATATGGGAAGATTTGCATAACGCCGCCCAAATGTTCATGCAAAGAAAGAAGGCGTAACTTTTATTCTCGCTGTAGTATTGTTGCCGCCAACGCCATGTTGTGGAGACGCTGTGTGTTTCATTGTGAAAGCGAAACTACTTTGTTTGGCCTTCCAAAAGAGGACACGACTAGAAATCAGTGGTTAAGTTGTATTTACAACACTGATAGAGGAGAAGCAATAATGTACAGTATGTGGAAAATAATGTGTTTTTTTAACCTTAAACCACATAAACACATTTCATTACACCAAATACACAAAATAATGTTCTTTTTAGCAACATCATATGACCCATTTAATGATTCTTTTAGTACATCTGAGGCAGGGTTATTACAGTTAAATAAAACTAAAACCATAAAAAACGTACATTTATTTTACTTAGGCTAGTTGCCTCAGCAACATTTCTCATTTTCATTTAGTTTAACTTGATGTACTAAAATAACTAAAACTGAAATATAAACGAATAAAAGTAACATTTTTTTTGAAGTTCAAAGATTGTTGGAGAAAAAAATATTAGAGAACTATTGTAATAATACTCTTACAGTATTTCTAATTCAAAATTGATTTCAGTATTTCTAATTCAAAACATGTTTAATACAATACTTTGTAATTGTAAACATTTACTAGCAATGCCAGTTTTTCCAGTGCATATAGATTGTATTATAAAATACTATAAATACTACAAAAAAATTAAACATTAAATAAAAAAATAATAAAATCAAATAAACATAACTAACCGAATAAAATGTAAATTTAAAAATGAAAATGTATAATATTAAAAGAAAAAATCTATTAGTACTAACATAACATAGCACTGTAAGAAAAAAATCCATAGAAAAATAGATATAGTCTTTGCAGGAAATTACCATTACATTTTCCATTAAGTTTACAGACATTTCCTTTAACCCTAAAACACAACACGATTCAAACAACTGTGAAAAATACGGAAATGTCCTTCATATTATCATGGTACATTGTTTTTTTTTTTTTATTATTAGAGTGTAGTCTGAGGAACTCATATGGGTTTAAAATTGTCCTCATTTGTAAGTCGCTTTGGATAAAAGTGTCTGCTAAATGACTAAATGTAAATGTAAATGACACAAAATTGAATAAATGATGACAGAATTTTACGACAAACAAACTTCTTGACAATCATTCATGTCATGTACATGTCTATATTTTTTTACAAACATTTTTTTTTTAATGCAGCTGTTTAGACACATAAACGTATTAAAAATCACCTCCGAATAACTTTTCACACTGGTTCTCTGTATTATGGGAAACATTATTCCCAGCAGTCTGCTGTTTTACACTGCACATTTTTGTCAAGTGAATGAAGTAATTCAAGTATTCAGCGCATACAATGTGCACATTGTGCTTGTGATTACACACACACAATCAGTTTCTGTGCTCCAATTGGTTATTCATTAGAAGGGTGTCATAGGAGGAATGTGAACCAAAATCTGTGACATTGCCAGCTAAGATTCATCGCAAATGCAATTTATCAGCCAATTATGCGAAGACAACAGATTTTGCCTTACGATGAAATAAATATTTTACAACCTTCAAATTTGGTCTCAGGCAATGAAATAGTGTGAAAAATTGAACTCTGCTTTAAGCAAAAGTTTGCTCTCATTAATGCACAGGAGGAACAACTGAGATATTAAAGAAATCTCCCACCCATTTTCTCCTGAAAACTTTACAAACACGAACCAGGGCGAAGCACAAAGTGAGTGATGAAGTTTCAGGGAGGAAGATGATGTGCCAGGGCAAATGAAGAGCAGAGGAGAGCGGGGAGAGAAGAAAGGACATGAGAAACAGCGGATGAAAGGAAAAGAACAGGATGAGCGTGAGGGAGGAAGTGAGAATGAGAGACAAGTCATGAAAGATTTACATCATCAGGAACTGACAGAGGAACCCCAGCAGCATCAGATACATGAGAGAGAGAGAGAGAGAGGAATTGATCATTCAAAAACAAGCCCAAGCTTGTTGTTCATGCATGCTCATGTTCATGCATGAGCAGAAGTCACACACATGCATATGACTACATATAATATTTGGATTGGAGGCACATGTTATTCTGATCATCTGTCACTCTTAATCTCTGGATCTGTAATTGAACAGGAGATGCTAAGACATCAGGAAATAAACAGATGAACCCCAGCAGTCTCTCTCTTCTTCTTTCAGTGTCTCTTTCCATTCCTCCCTCCTTTATTTGTTGGAGTCAAAGAACTCAAACATCACTTCATGAATATCTAAATGAATATGGAGCAGCAAGGGTAAACATGTTTATCTCGTCATCCAGAATGGAATGTTTAAAACATCATTGTCTGTTCGTAGTTAAAAAATCATCTGATTGTAGTTGTTGTTTCTAATTTAGATTGCACTTCAATGGATAGTTCATCCAAAAATGTTGGAAAAATCACCCTCATTTGATTCCAAACCTGACTTTTTTCTTGGAACACATTAACAAGTTATGTGGTTTACTTGTCCATACAATGGAAGTTTAATGTTGTTTTGACCTCAACATTCTTCAAATATCTTCTTCTGTGTTCAGCAGAAGACAAAGTCATATTAGGTCAGATTTGGTTATTGTTGCTGATTTCAATCTCACAGAATGATTTGAATTATGACTATAACTAACATGTTTTTA